TTATCTACTTACCTGATTGTCGTATTATTGTCGTCACCTCTCTAGTTGAAGACTATGTTATTCTACTTACTGATTGTCGTATCTACTGTCGTCACCTCTCAGTTGAAGACATGTTTATCTCTTACCTGATTGTCGTATCTACTGTCGTCACCTCTCAGTTGAAGACATGTTTATCACTTACCTGATTGTCGTATCTACTGTCGTCACCTCTCAGTTGAAGACATGTCAGGCACGATTCTTCGGAGGCCGCGATGTGGACGTGTACATCTCCATTGCGCGCGCATACTTTCTGTCCAATGATTTCGCCATGGCTGCTAAGACACTCCGAAAGGTATGTATTATACCCAATACTGTATGCATTTCTAAGTAAGATATCGGTACTTTTGTGTGCTCAAACGTTTCTTGAAGTATCAATAAAAAACTCAAACATTTCTCCAAGTATCAATAAACGCATTTTCTGTAGGGCCTCTGTACGGGCCTATTTCATGTTGTAGTTGTTTGTTGAGTTGTAGAATCCACGTGTCCTTTCACAGAGGTGCTCAGAAAGAGCCAGCAAACGGAACAGATCATGTCCGCACTCGTATTGTGTGCAAATTCTGATGCTCAACCCCTGCGATACGCTCACGCTCCTCGATCAACGCTTATAGTATGCTGGAATCACATTCACGTTTGTGTCCAACTTTAATCAGCCACACTAACGCTGCATCAACCCCTAACGAACAGTGCGATAGCGTGCAGCATTAATTTGTGCGAACTTTCTGGGCCAGAAAAGGGGACAAACTTTTGTTGTGTGCCAATTCTAATATACCTTACCCATCCGATTTCTATTGCAGGCGCTGCATATAGCCCTCAGACAGCGAGATAGGGTACAACATTAATTTGTGCAAACATTCTGCGCCAAAAAAAGGGGCCAAACTTCGCACGTATTGTATGTCTATCCTAACATACCTTAACCCATTCCGATCTGCTATGCAGGCGCTTCATATAACCCCCACAGACAGCGAGACAGAGTACAACATCGGATTATGCGAACAGAAAGTGGCAGTGGCTGTGCTGAAAGACACCAAATCAGACACCACCCAACTGCTTATGGCCAAGCGGTCGGCAAAGATGGCTGAGAGGATATTCACGATGCTGGCGCAGAGCAATGACAAGCACACCAAGTACAGCAAAACACTGGCGAAAATGTATGTCCGTT